TCTCGAGAGCCATGGCAGCTTTGAGCGGCGACTGGGATGGCTTGGATCAGCTTTATCAGCAAAGTTTGGCCCTGGCCGAGGCCCGGCATGCCTGTTTATCAGAGGAGCAGCTGGCGCGACTCGACAAACTACGTCGGATTGCAGATGGAGGTGCGACCCATTCATTTGCGTGCGAGGCTCTGTTTTGGCGGGTGTCGGCCAACGCACATGGCTTTGTTCACCTTTCTTCGGGATGCGTGTTTGAATGGTCATTTTTAGCTCCTAGCGATGCGGCGGCATCAAGGGATGGTCTAGGGCCCGGGCATGTCAAGCAACAGCAAGCCCGGGTTCAGGTTGTGTTTTTAATGCTTCAGGTATGGGGCTCAACGTGGCGCTGGTCAGGCCGCGGTGCCCTAGAAGCTGCCCGCCTCCACTCTTGAACTGATCTACCCCTGCATTTTGTCCGTTGCTGGCACCGCTCATGCCGATTGTAGCAGGCTTCTAGCTGGACCACGCCACAGAACGAGAGCAGCAACAGTCGCGCCTCGAGTATATCGGCACCGTCTGAACGTGTTGCATCTGGCTCTGAAGCGCGCCGCACGTGGGCCCTCTCCGTGGCAGGTATGTCCCGACCGGCGGCGCCCTCAAACGCTTTTTTTTTTTCGGAGAAAGAGGGAGGGGAGAGAGTGAGAGAGTAAGGTACGGCAGCGGCACTTGACAGCGTGCAACCATCGTGTCATGTTGATATTTCATACCGACGGTTGCCTGCTTTATTTAGATGTGTATGGCAGCCCAGCACCCCTGCAAGCAAGTACGAGACAAGTCCATGATGCTCTGCAAGAAATTCATCTTGAGCTAGCCAGGTTTGTGGACAGTACTCGCAGGCAAGCTGATGTCTCGGGTAAAATTCGAGCGCTTCCCCTTTTGCCTGACTTTGTGCCACATGAATCGTGATGATCTAGCCTTCGCGCCATGCTGGAGGGCGGCGCCGGGATGGGCGGATCCAGGTCGTCGGGCACACCAGCGCGGCCATGGTGGACCGCCTTGATGCCCGTGGTTCCGGTGGCGTCCTTTGTCCGTGCGAGCTTCCAAGCGGGGCTACGCGCCTTGGCCGCTCTCTGGGCTGACGCGCGGATACGGCGATTTGCGACTCGCTTCATCACGCGTGTGACTGCCGCTCTCCGACCCTTGTCCGGGCGCTCCTTTGTTGCTGGCCTCGCAGCCCTCTTCCTGCACGCCTTCCGGACCTCTGCCTTGCGCCTCCCCCGCAAGCCATCCCTGTCTCTTCTCCTGCTCCTGCTCGTCCTCCTGCTCGCCACCCTCGCGCTCCGCCGCCAGCGTTCCCGTTCCAATGCCAGAAACGAGTCATGCTCACTGACTTCGACAGCTCAAACCTGACCGACCTCGGCTACATGTGCAACATTATATACAAATCCTATTTATAGATTAAGCGACGAGGGGCGGGGGTCATAATCTGTACCAATCTAAGCTTCAGCCCCTTCCTTTGGTCTCCAGAGTCTTTGCGTTGCAAGCACCCAGAGAACCACCCCGTCTGCCCTTTACTCCTCATGAGAAAACCAAGCCGTAACCAGAGGTTACTAGCACTTACCAAATTTGCTTGACGATGACAACGTCATCTTGACATTTTCCTCTCTCGCTCTCTCCACACACAGTCTCTCTCTTCTTGTGTGTGTGTGTGGTTGCTTTTTTCTGTTTTATGAGAAAACGGCAGCGCCCTGACCAGGGTATACTTGTCCCGCATATCACCCTCTGCTGTGCTTTGCTTGGCTCTGCGCTTCGTTCGTTCATTTCCGGGCCTCGAGCTTTGTGGGCTTGGTCACGCCGTTGGTAAACCATCTCTCTGCTGTCTCTCATCGCCCTTGCCATTGTTGTCATTGTTGTGGTGCATTTGCCTCCGCGTTTCGTGACCGATTGCTTGGCCATTTGGACCTGCTGCCGCTGCGACTGCTATTGCTGCTGCTACTGCTGCTGCTGCTGCTATCCCTGTTGGCTGCTCCCACTTACGACTTGCGTACAAGTCGTTTGGCTTTTTTTTTCTTTTTTGTTTGTTCGTTTGTTTGCTCCTGTCGCCTTCCTTCGAAAGCATTTTCAAACTCCCTTGTGCTTTTTGTGTGTTTGTTTTTCGCCTTGCTGCGCTCGAGTCGTTTGTGCTGATCATTGTGTCCTTGGAACTCTGTGTGTTCAAATCCGTCTCGATGAACTCGACCATGATGGAGACTGGACCTGCTGCTGCCTCCCCCGCGCGCCCTGCACGCAGCCGAAACAACAAGGCTCGCCAAGTCAACGGCAATGGGTCTCCCGTGAGCACCCCAAACACGCCGACCAAAACACCGACCAAGAACTCGAGCAAGACCCGAACCCCAAAGTCGGCCCGAAAGCTGCAAGCCCAGCCGTCCAATCAGCTTGCACCCTCTCCCCCCAATTCGGCGCCACCCGACCTGGACCGTACCAACTCGCATGCCTGCCCCTCGGATGCTTATCCCGATCCGGCCTCTCTCCCCATGCCCAACTTTGAGTTGTTGCGCCGAGCACGTCGCGCCTCTCCTTTGGCGGCTGGTGGCTCCCCACCAACACCAGCCCGGTCACTTGCTCTCTTTGATGAGCCCCATGCACCTTCGACCTCCAGCAAGGCTGGTGACAAGACCCACTTTATGAGCCTTTTCAGCAAAGCCGCTTCTGCCTCAACCTCGGCACGCTCTCCGCCTTCTCTGGGCAGCTCCCCACCCCTGTCGTCCTCAGTGCCCAGCGACTTTCCTCACCTCAACCATACCGCTACTCAACCTGCGGCTGGTGCCACCATCCCTTCGTCGGCCTCGACCTCCCAGATTGGATTTGCTGCCCCCGACCACGCCTCGGCGTCGATGCGCCTTTTGGCCCTGGTGAAACCAACCTCTTCGTAGTCTTCCATTCTTCACAGCTGTTCGACTCGCCCCCCTAGTTCTTTCTTGACATCAGCCCACTTTTTTATTCTTCTTCTCTTGGAATATTGTCTGTTGAGGTGTTTTATCGCGTCTTGTGTTTTGAGATGCGTTGTTCCGTAAGGCTTGAAGTGGGGATCACCTCGTGTCTTCTGCGAAGCATGCGGCCCTGCTCCTTGTGTTGAGCATGCTCATCCAGCTTTTTCTCAACAGCAACCCATCTCTCGTGACCAGTCATCTCGGGCTTGGTTCCGATGGAAGACGTGTATGTTGTTTTCATGAGATTTCCTCTTGCATGTAGAGAAAGATTATGATCCATCCTGCCTAGTGCCTTGATCTTCCCCAACCGCATTCACAGCTGTCTTTCGTCTCTCGACTTAGCTTTTGTGTTTTTGCTTTAGCTGTGGTGTGAGTCACACACTGTTGGGCCTTTTTTGTTTGGCCCCGTCACCCTTGTAGTGACCATTTACCCCTCTGCATGTTTGCATGTTGTTGTCATGTGGTCTGCTGGTGGCCCGCACCGAGTGCGTTACGGCCCCGCTTCCCCATTGTTGATTCCGTCCTTTTCTGTCCTTGTGTGCGTTTGCCCGCACCGAGAGATGTATCAGGTCTTCATGACGAAGATTCCGGTGCCTCTCTTCCTGTCTTTTGCCATTGGCCTGGAGGCCACATGCTCTTGACCGAGAAAGCCTGTTGCTTCTTGTATGCACCAGGCTTCTTCTTTCATCGTTTGCTTTTCCCGTTACCCAAAGAGTTTACGTGATTTGGATGATGTTTGCTGGTTGATTGGATAATGTATATCTTTTTTCTTTTTCCTTTTTCCTTTTCGATCAAACATTGATCGAGGCGTTGGCTGACTGCGTCGCCTTCTGCCACTGTCCATTTTCATGCAACCTCTTTCCTTCGATTGGAAGCCAGTCACGTGCTCTCTCCCCCTTTGTGTTCTGTGACGTCTCTTCGAGGGCAGACACCCATTCTGGCTGAGTCCGTTTGTGCGATTTCTCAGCCGTTGTTAAGCCCTGCTTTGCTTGGCACTGTTCTCTGTCAAGCAGGCCATCGCGAGCAGAAGCGGGAACAATCTTTTTTCTTTTTTCCTCGTTCGATGGGTGTCTGCCCCGGTGTTTTTCAACACCATACACTTTGCCGATTCATCTTAAAGATCGCTCCCGTCTTTGGGAGTGAGTTTTTGTGCCAAATTTTGGGTTTTAATTTTGGTCAAGGCCAGAGCCCACGGCGCATACCCTCTCTCGTGATACGTGGCTTGGGATCTGAGCAACCCTGAAGTTAGGATGGGTTCACACTCACGACACGATCTCAACACTCAACACACATCAGATGGCACATTCTAAAATAGGGCCTCGTCACGCCTCAAGAGCCGACCGGCTTTCGTGGCGGGAAAGAAAGGCTTGAAAGGCCGCGTTTGGCACCTCGCTGTTGTGATTGCAGCACGTTTCGCAGCGCCCGCAGTAAGAACAGCCCGAGTTGCCGGGGCCACAACCACAATCGGCTCCTGCGTTTTCAGCAATGCCGCCCGGCCCCGAAACGCAGCAACTGGCCCCATAGCCCGTGCAGGTAAGACAGGCAGTGCAAATGCGGCAGCGAACGCGCAAGTGATCATGGTCCACATCCGGGCTGTTGCACAATGGTTCCGTATTGGAGGCGCTATGAGCGCCAACGGTGTCCGATGTTGCGGCCGACGATACAGACAAGGACGGGGAGGCGGCCAGGGCCAGGCCCGAGGATTGCAGCGCCACACACTCTTCCCGTCGCAATCGAGTTCCTATGCATGGGTGTAACAAGGGGTGACAGGGAGAGGATTAAAAAAAAGCATGTGAGGGTGAGACAGGCGGGAAAGGGCCTGGCCTGCACAAACACATCTGGGAAGAGGCGCATGCGCGCTCAAGTTGCAACGAACCGTTCCAAAGCGTAATAGCCAAGCGGATAGGCTCGCCGATCGACCAATTGCGCAAGTTGAGAGGCTGTTGCAGTTGTTTACGGCCGTTGACCAGAAACACCACCTGCTCCGTGTCGATGGAGCACTGCACCTCCACAACGCCACTGGATGGCACACGAATTGGGCGCGGCAGGCGACTTCCGCAAGTTGATGAGGAGTAGAAGCCTGTCAAGCCCCGCACATGAAGGGATTCCGGATGGTTCTTCTCATCGTCTCGAATGACGCCAAATTCAAAGCTGCTGTTGCCGCTCACTTCCACGCCCAGCAGTGCATGCCCCTTATGCACCAACACTGACCGTGAGGAATCCTGCCAGCACCCTCAAACCACAACCCCCCCCCCCACACACACACACACATACGTGCCCCCACACAACGCTATTTGCCTCACTCGGCGGCGCAAGCCACGTGCAAACCCTAGGCGCTTCGACTTACGTCCGAAGAGGATTTGACACGAGAAGCCGCGGACCGTTGACTGGAAGGGTGACACGATCGTCGTCCACCGTAATTTGATGGGCTAGGAGATCAAGCGGTCGCGGGGCACACATGGCAAACGATGGAAGAACGAGAGGACGAGAGGATAAGAAAAGACGGGCGGTGTCAGCCGAGTGCGTTGCCGTGCGAGCAGGCCATCCACGCACTTTCGGCATGCTGTAGATCCACATCGGCTTGCTGAAAGCGGCCGGTGGGGACGGGCATACCCACTGAAACCAGGCAGATGGAGGTACCACAAACAGGGACACGAGCAGACAAACAAGTGAGCGTGGCACTGCCGGGATGTGTTGCACATTGCCAGGAAGAGCGAACAATCGATTGCACAGACCGGTGTTGTTGACTGTGGTTTGCTGTAGCGAGCGCAGGAGAGCATTAAATTCATCCTGTCATGCATGGCCAGGAAGGCGTGATGAGTGAATGAGTGAAACGCAGGCCGGGCGGGCGTGTGTGTATCGGCGTCAAAGGCTGATGATTGGGTAAACCGATTGATGCAGGGCGTACGCGCATGCGCTGTTCCCGCTGATACATTTCTTGACGCAGCTCGGTAATCTTTTCCTCGTAATGTGTTTTCAAGGCCTCGAAGCAACTGTGCTCTTCCAGGTCCTGGCGACTGGAAGCAGGGGCAATTTGGGGTGAGCTCTCTACAAGAAAAAGTTTCTCGAACCGGGGAGATGGGGCGGATGGGTGCGCGTCCGAGAGGTCTTACGGAATACGGGCTCGACAGTGCGGCTGCTCGCAGGTCATGAGCTCCAGGGGACAGACCTAATATCCCGGAATATGTCAGTGCCGATTCAACCACAAGCCATAAAAGGTGCCAGGCGCGTAGCGGGAGTGGGGGGGGGAGGG